AATATTTTGTTTACAATTTTCATATAAATCATAATCAGATTAAACATTAAACTTTAAGAATATTATTTATTTAAAATGTGACTATACATTAGTGAAATATATAATATATATATATATATATATATATATATATATGTATTTAATGAACATACATATATAAATTAGTTAAAAAATGATTTAGTTTGATTTATAGAAATTTATGCAAATTTACCTAAAAAAAGTCATGTGGCGGCCAACGAACGGGAGGACCAAGATGTCTGCTGCAAACTGGACTAGGCCTCCGAACGGCAAGGCTGAGCGCGGGCTGAAGCCGCGTAATGGCAGGTTGGAAGGTGATGGACCCCCAACTATGCTAGACCGGGCCGAACGCAGTTGGTCAAGGATTACTACATTAAGTGAAGAAATTGTGATCGGCGCAACCATGTTAGGATGACAAACTGTGGACAATCATGGGTGATAGTCAATCATGACAGTGAGAGATAGTCACATGTGACAGTCAATCGCGAGCAACAATCTATGTTGCTCGCGATTGACGGTCCATGTTAGTAGATGTGTGTCTTTCAATGAAATGTGTTCCTTGAAGGAGGGAGAAAAATCTGAAGATTTTTGTAACGACAAGTGAAAATTTGTGTTCACGCATGTACTTGTGGAGGAGTTTTGATCATTATGTGATTAATGATTAAGATGTGCACGATACAAGTTAATTACAATATCGTGAAGCACAACTATATCAGATACTTTATCAAACAAGAGTGTCTGATAAAATGATTGAGTTAGTCAAGATGGATGGTAGACTCTGATGATTGAGCTAGTCAATCTTGACGATAAACTTTGATTGAGCTAATCAAGATTGATAATAGACTCTAGTAATTGAGCTAATCCATCATGACGGAAAACTCTGATGATTAAACTAGTCAATCTTGACGGTAAACTCTGATGATTGAGCTAGTCAAGATAAACGAGAAATTTAATCTAGCTCATCTGTTGGTCAAAGTTATTTCTATAGAGATTCTAAGGCAACATAGTGCTATTATGCAAGTTGTGCATGGAAAGCGCATGTAAAGTTTGCTAACATAGTATCTTCAGTTATCTCTTTATATATTTACCCTATCTTGTTATGGCTACGGCTTATATCTAGTTAATTATAGTGTAAAGAGGGTCCTTGTATAAGGTTTATTTCTAGAACTTCCCACGGGATAATTATATAGGTTACGAGATTTCTGTTCTCTCTATGCTAGCTGGTTTTTAGTTAACTCTTTATGTTATTACTCTATCTTGTTATGGCTACGGTTTTTGTTCTAGTTAACTCTTGTATAAAGAGGTGGTCTTAGGTTAGGAATCTGTCTAGAACTTCCCGCTGAGTAATAATGTATGTTGTAGAGGCAATTGTTCCTTAACGTGAATTAAGGGGGGAGATTGTTGAGGTTAAATCCAGTTAAGGAGTAACCTTGGGTCCTAGTTATTTATAGCTAGGACAGTCGTCTGAACTGGGGATAAATACCTTGGAGTTCATGTGTACGTGTGTCTTTCTATACATGACCTGAAGTAAAGGTGCTCGAGTTCTGGGTGGACGTAGTTCTCTTCCCCGAGGGTGAACAAAGTTACATCTGTCACTCATGAGTGTTTAATGTTTTTTTGATTTTACCTCTAACAGTTTTGGCAAGTAAATTCAATGTATGCTTTCTGAAATTAACATCAAAATTCAAAGTATTTTGAATTACTTAAATATTTATGTTACTCAATATGTAATTGATGCTATTGGAGAGTAAAAAAAGCCATCAATATTAATTAACAAAGATGTGCATAGTACCGGGTCAGACTAACAAGCTCATGTCAAATCCAGAAAAGTTGTAAAGTAGATTTTTTATGTTATAATAATATGATGTTTTGTTTGATGATTTATCAAAAAATGGAATTTTTCTTATTATAATACAATATTGAGAATTATTTACAAGATAATATCCAGAAGTAGTTTTGTAAGCATGTACAACTAAGAAGTGAAAACCTGATCAATGATAAAAACAAAATATAAACCGGTAGCAGAAGTACCAAAAGAGTTTATACGATTAAATAAATTTATCATGAAAATATATTAAAACAATATGTCAATCTATGTTATACTCAAATGATGTAATGCATTGATTGAAGATATTTTTTTGAACAATTTCACAATATATTATTCTAATATGTTGAAATTTTTATAAGAAACACAAGTAGAGTTAACTAGTATTTTAATTATTTCTAAATATATATTTTTTATTCCACTTTTGATTAGATCTTAGTTTCAATTAACTCTAATTTATAGAAATTCTTTGTTTGATTTTGTTTACAATTTTTGTGCATGGAGATTACATATATTGTGAAAGTTAAAATCTTCAAGATATGAATTAAACAAAAACATTTAAATCTTAAATCATATCTTGATTCAAATATGATGAATTTAGTTTCTTCATAATTTAACTGATTAGTTTGTTATCATATAAAAGAGCTCATACTAAACTTTCAATGATATAATTAGGATTTGATTGGATATAAGTTTAGTTGTTCTCCTACATCGAGCTTGTAGAGATGAACAAAGTTTTTCTTTGTTAATTGCTTGCTTGTTTTATAAGTGAACGTGTGTTTGCTTCGATACATATTTTTACAAATTTATGTATTTTCATGCATCAAGGTTATAAACTATAATTTTTTCCTAAACATACGAACTAATAATTGCAAATTTTGTGATGTTGTATGAAGTTATATGAAGTCACAAAAATTTATAATAATTTTCAAATTATTATCTAAATTTTTTTTTCAACTTACAAATAGATTTGCTTTGTCAATGCTTCATAATTGTAAATTATCTAATTAGTTCCAATACAATTTTCATAGTCAAGATAATTGTAGCTAATTACAATCTTTGAAAATACTTGTGATTTTCATATTAGAATTTCGAATTAAATTTCATGATTTAAAAATAAGCAATGTAAATATGATTTGAAAAATATTTATAAAATATAAATAATCAATCCAACATGTTAGGCCATACTAACAATTCATAAATCTAGATATAATTTTCTTTAGAGATTTATCTAACAAATTAAAAATTCTGAAATTCAAACATAGTTTAGAACAAATATTTGACTCAATAACTCAAAATTTGTTTATTTCTGCTTTAATGACTATATATTTGAACTTAGTCATCTTCATTTCATTCCAAGGAAACATTACTTTTAATTATACTCAAAAGAATGGAAGTAGATTTTTCATGTTTAAGGTTGGAAACATTTTGGTTGATTTTTTAAAGATCGTAATTCTAAGTATACTACATCATGTCTTACTTTATGCATATTCAATCTATCTTCCATTTGCGAAAAATCTGAAACCAATCAAAATGCGTATTAAAATTCTCTAACCCTATACATAACAACATTACACCTCTTACAATACATGGAAGTAAATATGATGACATTGATTGATACCGATAAAGTGCTGTGAGCTTTAACCCGATGTAGAATTGTGAGCTCCATCAATATCCACACATAGACCCACATCGTCGTTTTAATAATAACTACATTTAGAGGGGTGGATACATTGGACGCCCACTGTCCGTACTTGGTCTCTTATCCTGTTGTGAAGTAAGCCACCAGAGAAATAAATTATCAACAAGATTCCTACCTACGATAACCATAGCTCATACTAAAAGCTCATGGAGAGTGACCATAATTGTATAGAAAGTTAACCATATAATCGTTCTCCACCAACAGTTGCTTGTTATCACAAACCTCTCTCCTCTGCAATGGGTACAAAGATGACTACTGTGTTGTTCATTTCAATTGGGAGTCAAATTTTGCTAGACAGAAATGTGAGAGAAACAGAAAATATGTGTATATTGAGACCGAGTATGAAATCCAAGCCTTTGGAGCAGTTTGAGAAATTAGAAGGTGCAAAGGAGACATTGAAGCCATAGTTTAGGGATGCAGATACCACGTTGCTTAAAGCGAATCCCTCCATTAAACAAGGGGCTTGACCGTTTGTGAATGAAGCTTGAAGCAATAACACCAAGTACTGTACAGATGAATTTCAGATAGTTATATGTACTGATGTAGCAAGATACAAATACTCAGAGCAAGCTGCGGGGCTGCGACCAAAAGTAAAAGGTGTACCAATACAAGAAGGCTGCAGTTGTGCCTGCAGTGTAGTGGCGGAGGACTGATTTACGTAGAGAGTGGACATACAACCTACTTGCATGTCAACCCTAACGAAAATCAGATGCCGATACATGTAATTGAGTGCGACCTCCAAACAGGTGCAAAGATCAATAGGATATTCAGAGGGAAAACACGTGGAGGTGGAAGCGACTCATTACCAGGTATACCCGGGATGGAATGTGCGACCCCGATTTAGATAATATTTCTCGAAAAACATTCCAGTGACTATCGGTTCTTAGTCCGAACATCGGTTTACCTGACAAGAATTCTCGGAAGAGGGTCCAATTCAAGCTTCCTAGCAGCAGATTTACACCAAGGCATATCAGTCTGATAAGTCTCATATGATAATTCATGGCATTCATCAGCAGACACCAAGTGGTTAGTGAAAGAGAAACATGGCTATTTCCCCGGGAACTTAGAATATAGAAAGAAACCTTATCCCGTTCATCCTGAATGGGGACTTACCCCAACAAGTACGGGTAACAGTCCCGTGTGGAAGGACTCCCGTAAACCTCCTAACCAACTGGCTTCATAGAATATCCACATTCCATAGAATTTAAGCACGTAGAGTGTAAGCCTCTTAAATCTTACGAAAGGCTTAGAAACATAAAGGATATTGGAATCCCACGCATGTCACAGGTATTCTATAAACATTTCAAAAGTCTTATTGAAGATCATCCGATAGACTCGTTGAAAGCATTACTTTTACAAACATCATAGTTCGGAGGAAGAGTTTGTAGTGACAATCAGAAGTTATCTTCATACAAAGGACTAGACGATAAAGTCAAATAGAAACAGTATTCCTCTACACAGCAAGCATTTCGTAAAAATTTCAGTATTAGTGCTGACCTGGAGATATATACCTCCAGCAAGTATATCACTTGGCCAGTGGACCACACTAGAGTACTTGAGTCACAATAAATCGATTACCCTAATGGAAATCTTGAATTACAATGCTAAGGAAAGCTCTTGTATCATACTCTATCCTGCAGATGATAGGACACCTTAGAAGTAACGGACATGCCTAAAACCTATGATAGGACCTTATATCAGTACCTAAAATCTGCATTTACTCTGCATGCATCAAACGTGTCCAAGCATGTGTAATATGTCCGAAGAAGAGTTTACTATGCTGGGACAGCTTCCAATAACCCCTCTCCCGACCATTTTTTAGCAATGATACTCAAGAAATTGGCGACAATTTTCTTTCCCTCCGGAGTAATTATACTCTCAGGATGAAATTGTACACCCTGCAGCCAAAGCAGTAACATGTTAAGTTCATAATATCCGTAAATTGGAAGGCACCATGGATCTGGCATCTTGGACAGTTCAGGTTTGTAACAACACTATTTGTGTCAATAAAAAATTTGTAAGAACAAGAGCCAAGTCCTATACTAAGTAGACTTCGATATAAAAGACCAAATGCCGTGAAATATCTACATTTTAGTCCAACGTTTGGCAAAGGAAAAGAATCGTCCTTGAGAACACATATGAAAAATTTTGACGACTGGCTAAAGAATAGAATGGAAACACATACCTGTACATGTCTGTATTTGCGATGCCTAATACCCATAATGAGCCCATCATCCGTCCATGCAGTCACCTCTAGTTCGTCAGAAGGAAAACTTGCCTTCTCTATCACGAGACTGTGATATCTGGCAGCCTCAAAAGGGCTGCAGAAAGAACGAAAAACGACTGCAAGCGTTAAATTTTGGCATCCTTTTGAGCACGGCTTCTTGTGCATCTATCTAACCGAAGTTTTTGCTTTGAAAAGAGCTTGGCCATACTGTAGAGCAGTAAATGACACCATACTTGGAAAGTCCACCAAGCAGTCCATCTTCCCCTTTCTCATCGTAGAAAATAGGCGAACTTTTTCCGTGGACAACTCCGTTCGGAGCTCGCACTATTTTGCCTGTACACCAAGGTTAAACGATCAATTGTTGGTTTGGATTTAAGAGAAAACAATTTGGCATCCGAACACAATCACAAGCTCCAAGCCGCGCTCAGGAACATTCCTCATCAGAGATAACTCATGTCACAAAATTTGTCTGAGCTTGAATGCCTCCAGGCCGGAGTGATAACAAAATGCAGAGAGCCTCACTGTTATCTATGTGTACAAGGTAAGGCTGCACATACCTCCATATGCCTCACCCATGCACTGGAGCCCCATACATACTCCAAATATAGGAACATCGGCACCAAGTTCTAATATTGATTGAAGAGCAATTCCCGAGTCCTGAGGGGTACCTGGTATATTGGATGTTAATTAATCCAGGAGAGCTGTCATCTCGCGTTATTTTCAAATATGACAATTCAAAAAATCTCTTTCAGCAACCTTGAGTTCCAGAAGAAACACTAACCGGGTCCTGGAGAGATCAGAATGCCCCTTGGGTTCTTCCTGTAGAGACAATTGATTCTCATTTTAAGAAATTACGATGTGTTTCAATACAAAAATACAAAATATCGAACCAGTAGATGATTCTAAAACAAACTGATAAGCAGTCAAGACTCGCTAACAAAATAATCAAGAGAAAAATCCATTCCGTTGCTGTCATACGAGCTGTGCAATATAGTGCCTAACTGCCTTGCCATACACGTGCGTTGTGATCTAAATTGTATAATCAGAGGTTCTTCAAATATACTCTGAAAACATACTCTTTGAGCTCTTCAATGGAGATTTCATCGTTTCGGTAGACTTGATAGTTACACCCCAAATCTCCCAAATACTGTTCAACAGGAGATTTCAAAGAGAGGGCCAAAAACTCAGCCTCACGAAGAACCACAAAAGACTCGAACAAGTAAAAGCTCGAAACGAAAATCCGCCTCTAGAAACTGCAAAAAGTCACCACGCAAAATCGTGCCCTTGACAACTCACAATTTTCTCAAACACAAAAGTTGACGCAGACGACACAAACCTGACAGAGATTGTAAGTGAAGCTGTCATAATTGTCGATAACGATTACAGGCCCTAAAGGAGTTGAGCTCGCGGCAGACTGCGATGCTTGGGCCTTCAAACACGGAAAGAAAGCAGAACTCCTCTTGACTCCACGATACTGAGAACCCTTCTGAGATGTGAATCCCACATTAGATCGAAGACCCGCGCTCTGGAACCTGACAAATCTTTGAGGGCCTCCATCCAATCGAACGAATGCGGATTGGAAAAGAGCTGAAGTGGCAGTGGCAGGGACCGCCATCGCCACGACTCAAGGTGCTGACGATGTGTGGAGGAAGCAGGAGAGATTCATCGGACAATCTCCTGAAGAGCGCACAGCACTCTTCGCAGGAAGACGATATGTCGCTTTGACCTGTCCGTGGTGGAAGTCGGTCTCTCAAGGTCACGGGCGTTCTCCCGGAGCGAATCGCAAATTAATCATTTGATAATCTCCATAAACGGCTCGTGGTCCATCGATAATAGGCTCGTGACTAGAGCGAATCGGAAATTAATCATTTGATAACCTCAAAAACAGGCTCGTGGTCCACCGATAATAGGCTCGTGCCTGCATTTCGTCTTCTGCCTCCGCCGCCTACAAAATGCGCACATGACGTGATTATACCAATTATTTTTACTTTTACTATTCTTGTAAAGCTCTTATTCTCAAACTGTCAATGTACATATATTAGCGACACCCATCAAATATACATTCTATGTATGATGGGCCATCATACATAGAATGTATATTTCATCAGCCATCATTGATGGCTGATTAAAGAAGAATTAAAAATTCATAATTGGGTTAAATATAATTTGGAAGAAGTTTGTTCAGGTGCGCAAACCTTAAAATAATAAAACCACAGCTCTCGTATTGACCTATGAGTAGTCGTGCTCTTACCGCATATGAAACTGTTGATTTATTGCATCGCTGCATATTTTGCCGTCAGATGTATTTCCATTCAAATACCAAATCAACCATTGTTCGAACAATCCCTCGTTCGAACAAAGCATTCTGCTTAAGAACTGTATCGTTGAATGCATGGTCTAGTCCATTGATCCTGACACGTTGAAAGGTAACCTCGTATATCAGTTATGCCTCTCATCTTTGTCATACATTTGATCTCCAATTAGATATCCGTGAGTGTATCAATGAAAACAACCGATTAATTCCGTCCCCGGCATCTTTTAATTATGCACAAACTTGATTATGACTTGAGCAGCAAATGATAATAGTGATATTTGATGCACATTTTTACACAATACTTTGTTCGTTGTTCACATGTAGTTCAATTATTTTAGTACATTATTTTCTCTTTATGCATTTCAATTCATTTAATAATCACTTCATTAATAGATAAAAATAATTCACTGAGTTGAGTTATTATTTTTCATTTTCATTTGATTTACATACTATGGATTTTAGAATATATGAAATGATCAAATCAGTTTTAAGTAGACAGAAATCGTTTTGTGCTTTTATTAAGAATCCAGCCAGCGCATTTAAAAATTTTATAAACTGATCTATTGAGATGCGCAAAAACTCATCTTCTCCCTCCAAAACTATTAATAATAATTTGTTAGAAAAAAATTTACAGATACATATACCCAGATTAAATTTTTATTAAAAAATTACAGATTTATAATCAGAATTCTCTGATACACTTTAACGATGGGGGAGGTATGTGCATGCAAAAGTAAACATGCATCTGTCTCTCAAAAAAAATAAAACTTATAACATACATATGAATCAGCAACATATTCGGAAAAAAATGTCCATTGTATCAAACTATATTTTCAACTCATAAATTTCATTTGATTCTTTCATTGTATGTGATGTTTCTTAAAATCAAGATTGTTCTCCTAGCATGGTGTGCAGATTTCACTCTTCTCCATCCAATTTGTGTTTTGTGATCAGTTAAATCTTACTACTTACCAAAAGCTTTTTCAATTGAAAGATACCTTACAATGGGTTTCCCAAAAATATGGTGTAATTTTTCTATTCATTGCAATGAATTTCTTTAGTATCTTGTTGGGTGGACTCTTAGGTTCTGGCTAAATGCTAATTAGGATTAGTCGTAAACACTATTTCATTAAGGGGCTGGTTGAACATTTCTGTGACATATCAGGCTTATTTTTTATAAAGCTAATCATGTTTGCTTGTTAACGTAGATTCAATTTTTTTCTTTCTTGGTTTTTCTGTTGCAGATATTCTCTCTATATACTTTGCCCTATTACGGACCAATACTCAGAGGATTTGGAATGTGAAGTTTCTAGTGAGTTTAACAGGTTGATATTATACTCAAGAGGTTAGGTTACAAGGAAAGGTTTGAAATACACATCATAGAACCTAAGAGCATAATAAAATGACGTGAAGGTATTCAGAAGTCAGTAAGAAAATACAAAACAGAAATAAAAAGTGACTGAACAAGATCATTCACCATGCTATTTCCTATCACAAGCAATTCATAACATATTGACGCTATTTGATTCCAATCGATGAGAAACATGTCGATTGGAAGATACTAACACCGAATGTAAGCTGATTTTTGTCGGAAAACCTCCGTCTCCTTTGCAAGTAATCTAACTAAGAAGAGGCTTTATTCCCCAGTGTCTTACTTTCATCAATGAATGCATCATGTGTGATAAACAATATGTTCATCCAATTTAGCCTCTTCCTTCTTTTCACTTAAAAATATATGTATGTTTACTTAAAATAGCACGAACAAAAGCTCCACGTTTTCTTCTTTGTATTTAGAGTTGCAGTGTACTCAATCCGATAACTTTCCTTCATGAACAACAACGGCAGGCCAAAACTGCACTACATAATAAACCATATTGCATATTCTTGCAAAAAGTGAACATGCAAATCTGCTTAGTTTCCAAATCTTATGAATCTAAGATGTGTTAAGTTGTACCTTAAATATTACTAGTTTGATTTCCTTGAGAGATTACTACGCCTGCAGGTGCATTTGGAAATATGTTCATCTCTTCCAACCGCATTCATAAGGTCCGGGTCAGCTTAGGGAAGGGTGGTTGCAATGTGGTCAACACCAGGGCTTACTTTTAATAACATGGTTTGCACTGACCAGAGCACGGATTTTCAGTTGGTCGTGGGGTAGTTTCCCTATGTTTGATGGAGAGGACGTCAAGGGTCCTTACATAATCTCTTGCGTATAGTGATGACCCGGTGATTGTCAACTGTCCAGCCTATTAAAAAGCCGCGTCTTATAGGTGGATTATATCTTTACAGGTTTCACTCTCAAATGGTGACAGCAATAATCGCAATGCGTGAATTCCATGAACGTGCTGATTCTTTAGTGTGAATGTTGAAAATGCGTGGTTGTCTCTGACGACAGGTCTGATAAGAGCGATATACGGTGTATCTTCTGCTAGATGAGGATCGGTTTGAGATAAGCCAAGCTGGGAGGGCCAGCTGAGTCGTGTCACCTCCATTATCTTTGGGTTCATGTTTGGCTTTTGAAGGTCTTGCAAGGATTTATAAATGCTTGGTTGCGGAGTCTCATATGCATTTGGTAATGTGTAGAATGTGTAGAGTAAGCATTCTCCGCTCTCATGACATATCGAAGTAGTATGCAGCTTGTAGTTATTCGTCTCGTCAACTTTCACCCTACAAGTGCAACAATCTTCAGCCTGTTATCCCCAGCGTACCTTTGATCCGTTGAGCGAGAACACTTCCACACAGGACATCCGGATAACTATGGCCGACTTTCGTCTCTGTTCGACTAGTAAGTCTCACAGTCAGGCAGGCTCATACCGTTACGCTCTAAAGCTTTTAGATTATTAGCCTGAGCCTACCTTCGCACACCTCCGTGACTCTTTGGGAGGTTTCCACCCCAGAAAACCTACCCATCATGCAGTGCCCCGCCTTCAACTATTAGTTAGACATCCTCCGACGAAAGAGTGGTATTTCAAGACTGGTGGCAACATTGTCGACACCTCATACCTACACATTCAGTCAAGGTTGTCACCGCAAAAGTTCCCGCGTGCGCAAGGCACGGAGTTAGCTGCATGCAGGGTATGCTTTCCCAAAAAGGACTCCAATTCGCCATAACGGCATCTCGTCTCATAAGTGCCAGGGGACTCGCATCACAGTCTCAGGCAGAATGAGAGGTCAGTAGGCCCACGGAAGCACCTTTGACCCAAACTCTTTGGTCCAAGGTGCGCAGCACCTCTCTCGAAAAGTCTCGTACCCATTGGCCACGTCGGGCCTTCGAGTGCTGAATTCCTCGAAGCCACTTCAGAGCTATTGACTCAACGCAGAGTATCTATCATTTTGCAGATGGCTTGTTGGTATGACAGACGGAGATGGCTGCTTTCGCATTGTGCTTCAATGTGAACATCCGGATCACTTGCATGTACTTCAAAACAATTTCGGGTTTGGTTTCCGTCAGTACAAATTTCCTCGAGTGTACACGTAGATAACTTCAGAAGATTTGAAACTACACAGCATTCTGCAAGAGATCCCACAATGGATCGTTCGCAATAAACGTAACATTACATATGATCATATGTGAAGACTAGCGCAAAGTAGTTTCAACCAGATGGTGATTACAAGAACAATGTACATTGATCGGAGAATTAATGATTGAAGGACAACCAGGGTTCCACTACAACAAAATGATCAAGAAGTAACACCTGATGACCGAGAAATGTCTTTCGAATATAACATAATGGAATGGTTGTATTCCAGAAAGCCGCGGCCGATCACAAACAACTCACTTTCAATAGACAGGTCTACAGCCTTGCCGGCCAGCTTTACTGCCTCAAGATGCATTACGCACGCCCCTGACTCAATATTGGACCAGAACTCGACTATCTGCAACTTAAAGGGCAAAAATTGATGACGGATCCACAACTGGTACGCCCTTGTTCACCAAGAACCTCCCTCTTTGTAAGAAGAAGAAAGAGGGCCCATAAGTGCATTCAACCACCCGCAAAACTGCCTCGGAAGAATGTTCACATAACATGGGGCGTAAGCCACTGATCAATTCCACATGATCAGTGTTGTCTACGCTGGGCTGAGAAACTTTTGAAGGCCAGGATATCAACTGCCAATTCAATAGGCCTGGAATCCAAACGGCCTGGCCCCGTGCGATTCACAGTTGCTGCACAACTCATTACATGCGACCCCAAAAGAGATTGTTTCTACATTTCTGTTCTAGCTACTAAAACTACTCTCCCACTGTCATTCCAAATCCGAATTTGTAGTCCTTCTTCCAGTGATCGATCTGCATTGCAGGAGAATCAAGTGTTGAGTATCAAACATGTCTACGCACGTGCAAACGTAGACACATCTTACCACCTCCGGTTTTTTTACAATTATTTTTATCAATTTTAACAATGGTTCTTAGGTACGAGAACAACTTTACAGGTCTAAAGAATTGAACTTACCTCCGCTGAAAGTAAAAAGTTGACTCCAACATTTAGTCTTTCTTCTAAGTAGGCAGCAACACATCCGTTTGTATCAAACCTACCCCTCAGACGACACTGCAAGGACAATTTACAGAACATGTTATCCAAGTTAACTAACATTCCGTTTCCTAGAATCAACATCTCTTCAGTAAAACTTCGAAAACAATAACAGACGGAGGACATTCCACTTCGATCACGAAGTACAAAATTTGCGATTCGGAAGGATCCGGGCTCGGGCAAGATCTCTATGAAACTTGAATACTTACTAAACATGCGCAACATGCACATCTTCACAAGCGGTTCGATATGCTTAAGACGATTTTTGGACGTCCACACAAGTTGGTCAAAAAGATCCACATAAACTGCACAATTAAGAGAGAGCATAAAGTAAAAACTGAAGGGACTCATACCGTGCGTAGTAAGTAGTCGTAACCAACGCTTGTAGTAGCTTCCTTTGACATCCAGTTGTACATAAAATCAGACGCCAAGGAAACCTGCGAGAGTCAAAGCATGTCTCAGGGTCCTTGTGTCCTTCAGTGCGCTTGCATCTTAGTGTATATTCTAGAGGCCTGCCTACCGACTCCACAGGAAATATGATTATGTGGATCAGTCAGAAAACACAAGTACTACAACAGTGCTACAGCTGCGCGTGTAGCAAAAGCAGTTGCACTTTTCACCACCCAAAATGACCCGAACAAAAACCAATGATTTGGACTTCCAGTTTGCTTCACGTACAAACGTCACAAGTGTAGTCAAACTAAAAGCAGGACAATGATATCCAGATCAGACATCAAATTCAAATCATGAATAAATACCTTGTCCGACACTCTTTGAACATAAGTCAAGGAAACCATTCCTGTGGTTGCAATCTGGCCGGTAGCAATCTGGGACATACCAAGAAAACTTTGTTAGCAGGAAATATAGTAAGGTTTCGGGATCTACACAGAATTCAACAAAAACCATAGTCAGGAATTTTTTCCTGATAGTAATCCACAAAATTACAAGAAAACAAGTACTCGCGTTGGAACTGATAAATCAAAGAACACATGCGGTACGTTTTAGCATACCACTTTATCGGTGTTATAACGACCAGCAAAACCAACTCCTGACTTTCGTTGATGACCCAGCCAAAAAGCTTCACCTCCGAGGGCAATAGTAGGAGTAACACTCTGAACAAGCACAAAAGACATATCCACGGTCAATTTTCAGTAAACACATTTACTTCCACGAAAGCGAGGTTGAGGACTCAAGCATTCCATCAAACTTTGTCAAATTGAAAATATTACAAGAGCTACCTGAATGTAGTTCAGTCCATAGAAGGCGTTGTTACCAAGTTGAACTTGGGCTTGATAGTCTCTACCCTGAAATTGCCAACACCAAGATAGTAAGAAAGAACACCAAGAAATCGAAGTAAACTGCAAAAGAAGTGTCTCAATGGAATATATATGGACCTACAGTTGGTGAAAGCTGTAGGGTTTAGGGTATACGGTAGTAAGAACCTCAGAGAAAGTTACTAATCTCGAGGAAACGAACATACAATGGTTCAAAATGAAAATCGGTTCAGTTGTTCCTGGAAAGTCACTTTCATGGATCATGCTGATAGTCTCAAGATGCATATTGTCTTACATTGGACCCTCTAGATTTGCAAATATCCGCGTCACCAAATACAAACGATACTAACCTTGTAGTCGAAGTGGAACATGCCTTGAGAAAAGTGAGGCTCGTTTGTGAGCTGTCAAATAAAGGACAAAAGTTATAACTTTACCATGTCATTCATCAAACCCTGATAGAACGTATCATCATATCTTTTACTGAAGACAAAATTTGACTATACTTCTCGTACCATAAGTCTGGTTGACGTAAAAGAAGTATTGAAGTGACTGTAAGATATGGATGATCGATATGATATAGAACCACAAAGAGCGTCTTTTCGTATAACGGACGTAGAAGGAGTACATAAAAGCAACACATGACGGAACACAAGGGTGAGGAGGATTCTGAAGTAGATGTCAGAGGATGTTCAACTAGAGCTTCCTTTCTTGTACCTGGGCATTCACTTTCACCGTGAAGTTGTCCGTTAAGTCATACTTCAATCGTGCAGTCATTCTACCATCAGTCAAGATTCGTCCGATTAACATCATCTGCTCAACAACCATCCTGACCATATCAGTTTTGAATGTGCAAGGGCTCTGAAGAGCTTTTGAATCAAGTCATCAAAACTACATAGCATCTACTGCAAGCATTAAGGTTATAAATTTACCCGATTATCAATGAGATTGGCACCGAATTCGTAATGTGATGCTGAAACCTTGATAGTTTGAGGCGATTGTGCTGGGACCTCAACAGAACCCATAAACACACTACAATAAAAGGATGGTATGGATTTAGGCCACAGTAGAAAACTGTGTATACAGAAAAGGAAATTTTGAATCCGAACCTAGAAAAGACTCCGACCGGGCAGACTCCCAAAAAGAAAGACTAATCAATGGCCTCTACTTTCTCTATATTTGCATAAAAATGATGCGCTTCCAGCAAAAGACCTAAATTGGTGGGGAAGAACTGAGTACCTATGACTGAGAGAGAATTTTTGACTGAGGGGTTTCGTAAAGTCAAAGCGCAATCCTTCAAAAAGCTCCGGCTTGAGAGAAACTGCCGGACAAAGCCACGCTGCGTCTTAGTTCCAATTCTATTCGGATAAACATAATTAGAAAAATCCATAAACCTCCTTGAACATCACTAGAACAAAGATACTAAAACACACTCATCCATAAACTCAATCACACGGAATTTGATCTCAAACGTGACTGATTGAAAGCCAGCAAGATGTAAACCCTCAAATAATATTACCCGACGGCGAGAAAATAGTGGCTTACCGAGGGCTTCTCGCTGAATCTCCTCATACTTGACTGGACAAGGCAGATCGAGCCACTCAACTTTATCCTTCGTGTCATCACTATCTCCTCCACCAAGAAGGTAGGCGGATTTCTTCGAGCCGGCAGCATAGCTGATAGCGCCTCCCATGTTGCCCGCTCTTTCAATGCCCTAGAGCTATACAGACCACGACAAATTGATCCGCACGAGACTAAGAATACATTCCACACACCAAACATCACAATGCTTCAAAACTGACATTCAGTTGGCCGTCACGAGGCAATGGTCACAATTCTCAACCCCCAACATTCTGTAGAAGGAAACACTGCAGCGCACACCCCAATTCTCCTCGCCGCAGTGCACTGGACTCTAAGTACAAATCAGCAGAATGAATACCCAGCCCGACCTTTCAAAGCATCCTAAGCTGTGGCTAGTAAATTCTCGATGTCAGGATCTCCGCCCCATTCCAAATCCTACCCGAAATTTCGACGAAAAGATGTCACAGCTCCCGCTAGCGGCGTGCAAATTAATCGATCCGACGCTTGTCAAGTAGATCAGAACCCGCAGCAGTGAGCAGGAGAGTCGTTGGATAGATCGTGAAGCTCAGGAGGCCGCCATGAAAGGGCAGAAAATGCTTATGGCGTCCTCCTCCTCGTCTCAATCATCAGCCCTGATTCTCACACTCTGTCGAGGAATAGGAGGAAATGCAGAAAGCTGCTTCTTCTCTGGGAAGCATTCTTACGAGCCTTGGAAGGGGACAACCAAACACTCTTCTGCTGCTCTTCTTCTCCGTAACCCTACCCGGCCCGACTATGCCCACCCTGCTAACCGTGGTCGACCATAAACCCTGTGGCCCACGCTACGTTGTACGCTCGCCGGGCTCTGTGTCGAAGCGGTACATGTGTGGTTGTGGTGCTGCTACTCCACTCGAAGTCCCTCCCTCCCTCCCTCCCTCCCTCCCTCTCTCCCTCAACTTCATCCGCACTTTGCGACTGCGTTGTCCCCGGAACCTTTTGATTTCTGGATTCCAGCACTTTCGCCGGCCATCGGCGCAACGTCTCGGTCGATGCAAACCGTCTCCATATATATGGGGAACCCAATATTCTCTTCCTATTGCTAGAAATCATCTCAAACACCAAACACCAAGTACTATACCACTTCTCATCCCGCCTTTTTAACCTAATTGGATTGTCATAGTCTAGCTGCATGGAGATGGCACTCATAAATTTGGTAAAACCATGAAATGACTTTGGAGTGAGGACGTTACTCTCTAAAGATTAATTTTAATCTGGTGGTCTCACTTATGACAATAAGTCACCACAATATGCACCTTCGCCACAACCATTGGACCATTGTAATTCACGAACAAGTTCATACTGCAACCCATCGTAGACGAGCAAAGAAGAGTTCAAGAGTTTCCCTCTGAACGTTTTTATTTTTTAAATTTTAAATGTAACTCTTGATGAATCAGAAGTGTTCATCCGTCACAAAGGAGTCACAATTCTGCATCTGTCCGAGGGCAACAGATGAAGACCGAAAGCTATCCCCGAAGCTTCAACGTAGCGCAGAATCACGCGTAGTATATGAAAGCGCTGTATTATGTCATGAGGGCTAACACGAAAACGATGATTCATTAGAGTCCAATTGAGGTCTCTTGAATTAGACACCTTTGGTGAATTCAAGAATGCATGCAACCTTAGCATTTAAGAATGCTAAGATGGAACGATCGCAGTTTGGGCATCTGTCTATGTTTTAGAGCATTTTTCAGCCAAGCACATGACATGCCCATGCACGCACTCCTTGGGTTAAACGGCGTCGCGAGTCACATCATTCACTGTTCCTGAACCTTCGCCGAGATGAACTCGAGGTGTAGCTAACTGCACAACCCATATGAAAATACTCGAAGCGCTTTGGCATTGTAGAGCTAAAGTCGAATATAAACCTTGTAATTTGTAATTTGTCATTAGATATTTGTATAAAGATGCACACGGACGCAGAGCCGTAGAGGATATCTCACAAAGCTAAGACCTCGGAGCGAGCGTGCATTGCATCGAGCAGATCAGATCTCTGCGCACTTGTTGCTACCAGAGACAGGGGGAGGTTGACTGTATTTAACATTGTCGAGGAAAAGTGGACAAGATTCCCTCTCTTCTTTTAGTGCCAGAGTTCTGGGAATCTGGTCAGCGGCCAGCATGAGCTTCCATGAGCTTCCAGTCCCCATCCTCGACCCCCATGCGACCAGAGATCGGAGGGATGGCGCAGAAATATCCACGAAACATGCAGACAATGCAGGTACGGGCTAAATCAAGCGTCGACTCATTGCTACTGCTCACTTCCCAGCGCAACAGCCTAAATGTATTATTTCTTTATCCACATTCATCCTACAAAACATCCATCGAACCCAAAGTCTCTACTTCTCTAATTTCATTCTACGATACGACTCTTTATCTAAACAATCCAGAGTCCAAATATTCTCGTACATGGAGAATCCCCGGGACTATGGTTGATTGCAAGAGTGTCCATCCAGATGAGTTTTTTTTCCAGTCACTATGTTTTCATCATAATGGATACATCGACTCCTGGGCGACTAAAACACGTCTGCAGGACCTCATCAGCTCAGACTCGGATAACTTCTTTCGATTCGGGATTTATGAATGTCGGATTATGCATGTTTTCGGCAGAGGCCGGCGCCTGTGCCTTGTCAAATGGGGTACTAAAATGGTTGGCGCCATGGCGTCATGGGTCCACCACGTCTCTGATGGCGAAGTCCTGTATTTGCACAACAGCAGAGATCTCTGTATTACGGACCCTTGGCATCCAAGTTACTCGAGCTCGTCTATGCTACGCTCGACATCTTCAAATATGTTACCAGGAGTCTCAAGTGCGTTCTGATGCCTTTTCGAGGGCATCTTCGGATGCTTTCAGACGCAGCAATAGTTTTTGGAGACATTGCCTGTAGCTTAATAACTACTAGTAAAATTTATAAATTTGAAATCTACTTTTTTTATATCAATTTGAGAACTGACATTAAAAGTTTAATGAAGATGACATTTTTTCTTTCTGCGATGCTCAATTTTCCTGTTCGCGTGATTTATCCAAAGGAAATAATTAGTTTTTTTGTGTTGATTTGATATTTATATGTAAATACTCACTTCCAAAGAATGGACAACAATGAGATTTAAAAAGACCAAGGATTCAAGAATTTCATATATGCTAGGATCACCTCCGTGTAGGTAGATATTATCCTTCCAACTCTTTCAAGATTATTATGAAAGATAAAAATCATTTTTGTTTGTACTTATCATTTTCCAATAGTTTTGAAGCTCCTATATCTTTCTATTTAAATTTTTTTCACCGGTATCACATAACAAAATAAAATTTTGTAACATAATTATCTGATAATAAATTTATAATATTTCAGTATCAAATATAAATATTTGATACTAAATATATATTGATTGACGGAATGTATTATAATTATAATTTCAAGAATTCAAATTTAACTTCAAGTATTTCTATATATAAGAGTATCCTCAAATATAAAAAAATTTATTTAAGAAATCATAACTTTTTTTTAATTTCTTATTTTTTATGTTATTGAAAATTTTTAAAAAATTCAGATGTTTATAGATTTTGAAACGAACATGTTTCCAAAAGAAGTCCGTGATTTTTTGACATCATGTGTGCAGTATGATGATATGATGAAATGTGTCAATCAATACAAAGTTATACCAATACTAAGATATCTGAAGTATTACATGCCCAGTGATATGAAATGTAGATGTCAATACACTTTTAAAAAATTGACAATTCTGGTAATTTATCATCTTCATTATTTCATTGACCTTGTGAGACACGTTCTGAGTCCGATCATTATAAAGCGGCTATCACACGGAATAATGTAGATGGACTGCTCTGTTAAGAGTGTAAACCAGATAGGCAATATTGAGAGCAATGTGGAGACAGGAATGATAAAACAAAGTTATCATTGTACCATGTGTGCTAACCCGCACCCGGTAAAGTATGAATTAAAACAACAAAAAAGTGGTAAGGCCCCATCAAGTGGATTCATGGACCAGTTTGGGATGGATGGTGAAAGGAGAGAGTGCGACTGGCACCAAAGTGGTAAAGTTGTATGAATCTTTCGAAAGGGATCCTTTGGATTTATGTCTCTAGTTTGCCATTGTGAGTACAGTAAACACTGAAGGTCACCGGAAACCTGAGTGGGATTACGGCCGTCTTTCCTGACCCGATGCCGGAAGCGTCGGACCGTCTTGTTTACCCGGCGTAGTGAAGGCCACACGAAGACCGCACGCAACTGGAAACATGCACGGACCGACGCCGCGAACGAGAGTGTGGATACGCCGTAAGAATATTCCTGAAGATGCTTACTTCCGCAGGCAGTGCGGCGCCGAAAAGAGACCAAGATGCCGGACGTTTTAACCAGCCCAAGGAAAAGGGAGGAATTCCCAGCGGCTCCGGCGAGGAACCCTAATATCTCCCGCTCTGACAAGAAACCGGAGTCGACAAGATCCCGGGCTCGCGGTGGTACCACAATCAAAGTCCGAGACCATCGGACCTCGGACCCAGTAAGTATGCACGGAACGCATAAGCCCATGAGACCCGAGCTATAGCACAGTTCTCTGCATCGATACCTCACGCAGAGCAATGTACTTCGTAGCCTGTCGCCATTTGGACTGTGCGGTACCGAATTTGCGTATCTTCGCCCGCAAAGACTTACGAAAAATCATAAGTACTCTAAAGTATTTCCCAACCCAGGCAGAACAGTGAATTTCTGAGTATCGGATTTCTAATTCCACGAGAACAGAAATTACAATATCTAGAACTCCGTATGTCGTACCGAGTTTCCTTCGGTGCGGTACCGAATTTGAGTATCTTCGCCCGCAAATAATTATGAAAAATTGTAAGTTTATTCGCTGCCCACGCAGGGCAGCGAATTTCTGAGCCTCGGAGTTCTATTTCTGCGAGAACAGAAATTACAAAATCTAAATTCGAAATTCCTTCGGTGAGACTGCTCGATAGTCAGAATCTGTTAGAGTGAGATGGAAAAGGGACCCCAAAGGACAATCGATGGTGGACTTCTTCTCCCTCGGGTGCAAACGGGAGGAGGGTCTCCAAAGGGCTCATTCTGTGCGCCGCCCTTTTCTCTCCGTGCTTCCGAGGCCGTGTACCTCGATGCCGGTCGGTGCAGAACATAAGAGCCGAGTCCAGGTCACCGCTCGTGCTTTAAGGGTTTTCCGATCGTCTGGAGGGCTTGTCACTTCGACGACGAGGTTGCTTGTCTTTCGGCACTGAAGAGTTCCGGGTGTCGTCGAGCTTTAGGCTCTGTGGGCATTGTGGAGTGGCCCGGATGGCATCTTCGATGTCGGATATGCCTGTGATCTCTGCAGCTTAGCTGTCGGGACGAAGCTGGATGGGATCAACTGCTTAAGGAGAATCAACACGACCTCGTCATCTGCCAGGGTATCTTTAAAGTGGATTCGGGGAATGCAACGATTTCCCATCCGAGCTGATCATTAGAGGATCCATTTGCTGAGGCATTGAGCGAGCCTCGTCTTTGAGCGAGCCTTCCGGTCAGGATGGAAGAGAGAGTTTAGAGACGACAAGCAATTGTTTAGTTTCGCCATAGATTGTGATGGCTGTGATTGAGGATCATTCTGATGGAGATGACGAAATCCAGACCGAGAATGCGATCACGCACGGGGTTAGTGTTGGAAATGTCTCCGAGATTGGCTTGGAGCAGACGATTGCTAGCTTGGAAATCGTAGCCAGCGATGATGTGGATGTCGAAAGCGGAGATGAGGAAGACGATGGCGAAGAGGACGAGGTCTGGGGAGGAGGTGGATTGAAGGGCTTTGTTTCAAAGCCCGAACATCCTTGGAAACTATTACGCCAGTACTTTCCTAGCAAGGCCGGAGGGGCGCCTGCGTGGTTGGATCCGATGAAGGTGCCTCCAGCGAAGCACGGCTCTTGCGGTATTTGCGACAAACCATTGCAATTTGTTCTACAGGTGAATTTACATTCTTCTTTCGCGTCGGCTTCTTCTTCTTTTGACTTGAATTGAACTTACGCCGGTTCCCATCTGCAGCAGCGGAGTCTGTCACAAAGCCCTGCACGACAATGTTCTCGCTTTGACATGGAATGTTTCCCATATTCAGGTCTACGCTCCCTCGGAAGATGATGCCTCTGCATTTCACAGAACGCTGTTCGTGTTCGTCTGCACGAGTCTGGCGTGTTTGCAGCAAGACCAAAATCAACAGCGGAGGAAAGACAAACCCAAGAGGAGTGTGAAAGTGTTTCGCAGCCAGCTTCCCCGTGAGAACGATTACTATTCTGCTTCTCCTCCTTTAACAGACGGGAGTGCACTCCCTCTCTGTAAAGGGGCTGTGCTTTGCAGCTGGTGTGGGACGTGGAAAGGAGACAAAATCTGCGGAGGTTGCAAAGAAACACGGTACTGTTCGCAGACGCACCAAATGGACCACTGGCGAGGCGGCCATGCACCTGGATGTCGTCAAGCTCAGGAAAAGATGAAAGCTACAAATGAAGAATCTTGCACCACGTCTAGCTCAGACGTGGAAGGTGCCGATGGCGTCTCTCTCTCTAGTCCTGCCTGTCCGAGCTTGTGGCCTGAGTTCGAGCTTATTGTAGAAGACCATTCGGACGACGAAGATGAGGATTCGGATGAGGGGGGCATGGACGAAAGAGATGGGGTGAGACGGCTTTTATCTGAGTACGAAAACAGGAGAAGAAATCAAGGCAGAGAAGAGTTTTCCTCGAAAGATGTCGCAGAGCTACAAGAATCATCGGCAGAAGAGCAGCAGTGGGCAGCCTTCCAAGCACGAGTTTCTAAAACCCCAGGGCAAGTGCTTTGGTACCTCAGGTCGGCGGACGCTAAACCCTTGTGGCCGAGAGTTGACGGCCAGCCGAAGACGACTGACATTCCACAATGCTCTCATTGTGGCGGAAATAGGATCTTTGAATTCCAAATTCTGCCTCAACTGCTCTATTATTTCCAGTTGAAGGATGATCCCGACTCTCTTGACTGGGGCACCATAGCCGTGTACTCGTGCGAAAATTCGTGCACCGTTGAAGGTGGTAGCCAGGAATTTGCCTGGGTGCAGCCAGGTTTCGCTTGATTTTGAAGGGGCCAAGAGCAGTACTGAGATGTTGAATGTCAAACAAAGTGTTGATGTACTAAAAGTGGCCGATCCTGCCCATTCGTAGTTTCAGAGAATATTTCACCTCATGTACATAAGGAGGTTAGATGAGCTTTCGAGAATGCATAATTGATTTATGGGCCTTCCACAGAATCTCACAGAAATTTCTGTGGTAGACACGAGATAGGACTGTAGGGTGATCTGGAAGAAACTGGGAATCCGGAATCAATTTTGGTGTAAGGTGTCTGAGGAGGTTGACTGATTTGAGATAGTGAGATATTAGAATTGCAAGTGAAATGGCAAAGAAAATATTTTTCTCAACGCTTCGCTCTGGGTGTGTTTGGGATGAGGAGTTTTATGCTATTATCGACTGTTTTGGACAGGCCAAGGAAGATTGACTGCGTCTCGCGTGCTATGCAGGAGAAACTTATTTCTCACTTTAGTCGTACGCTTTCCCATGGTGGATGTAATTTAAACGTACTTTTTATGGACATGATAATAGATAATGGGATGCGATAGAAGGGACAGATACTAGCTTTTGGAAAATACAACGATGTTCAACTGTATTTTTTTAGAATTGAAGATGTTTGCATTTTGTAAGGTACAGTTCGAAGTAGCGTTTACGTCGAAGTCATCTACAATATGGTGTGACAATTTGACGTTTGTCTTACCCTATTAGAGAAAGATTAGAAATCGACAATCTTGTGTGGTGTTCGCGCGAATTTAGTATTTCCGGTCACTGGGAGACACAATATATTCTTTTCATGGAGTATATTTCTCCCGGCAGATTGATCGAACAGAAAAACTTTTATTCGCTTGTCAAAAATTCAATCTTCAGACTTTCGTATCCAAAGTGTATAATTTCCTATTGCACTACGTCGATGCTTTTCCTCATCTCATTTCAGAAAGCAATTGTTTACTAGTTATTTGTTCACTAACTTTCAATTTTACAACATTGGCACCTAGAAACTGGAGGAACTTTTCATCCCAGGATTCGATTCCCAAAACTGTGTGACAAAGAAGCATGACACTCAAGGAGACCGATTGGCAACCACTGTGGACATAAGTAAAAGGGTAATGATCAACTAAATAGGACATGAAACAGCGAGAACGAGAGAGAGCTTTGGTTCGCAAGAAACCTGAAACAGTGTATCAATTGAAATTTCGCCTCGAAGTGCACAATTGTGTAGTTGTCAATACAAAATCAAGATCCCTTTTCCCACCCCAGGTAAAACGGAGTAACTTGGAGTCAGGGTCGCATCCACCACTTCTTCGCCAGCTAGAATTGAAGTCTTCGTCATTCCGTGGCTACTCTTCCTTGCATCCGTGATAAGGAAATATATATATACCTGGTCCTTAGTACAATTAAAACCTTAACGATTGGCCTTAGCGACACGCTCAATCTCGTCCTTCTTCTTGATGGCGTAACTGTTAGAAGAACCCTTAGCAGCATTGATCAACTCATCTGCCAAACACTCGGCGATGGTCTTGATATTCCTGAAAGCGCTCTCCCTAGCACCTGTCGTGAGCAGGTAGATGGCCTGGTTCACTCTTCTCAAAGGTGAGATATCCACAGCCTGCCTTCTAATGACTCCAGCAGATCCAATACGGGTGGCATCCTCGCGGGGACCGCTGTTGATGATGGCGTCGACGATGACCTGTGCGGAGTAAAAGGACAAAGCTAAACATTCGTCCAATCGATTCTATCCTCTTTGAATCCTTGTGCTTGTCGACAATTTCACAATCAGAGAGAAGTGATAGATTCACACAATCGAGCTCGAGAAAAATACTTGAAGTACAGAAAACATTGCCCACGACAAATTCGCACACGAACAGCAGGAACAAGAGGTACCTGAATAGGGTTTTGGTCGGTCAGCAGGTGGATGATCTCCATGGCGTGCTTGACGATGCGAACTGCCATGAGCTTCTTACCGTTGTTGCGGCCGTGCATCATGAGAGAGTTCGTCAATCGCTCCACAATCGGACATTGGGCCTTTCTAAAACGCTTGACCGAGTACCTTCCGGCGGTATGGGGCACGAAGGTGGCGTGCTTGTCGACCGAAACAGCGATGTAATCGGCCAAGGAGATGTCATTGATTTCAATGTCATCGAACGACCATCTTCCGAAAAGTTTAACCTCTGGCTGTACAGCCACGGGTGCCACAGCTGCGACCGCCATGGTGGATTCACGAACGAGAGCAAGCACGATGATTCAAGCAAACGGCAACGAGCAGAGAGAGTGCGCCCTGGTGAAAGAGTCGACCTAATGACGGACAGGGTATAAGGCCTGCTTCTCCAAACCCTAGCCCGCCCACCCGCCCGACACCGCCCGCCTGCCCGCCCGACAGTTTCCCGACCACCCTAAACTCGTTCCGCCAGCCGGGTATATTACACAGTATAAACATATTTTTTAATAAATATTCGAATAAATCCTACTAAAATCAATTTTTTAATAAAAATATTCTGATCCAGATCTCCATTTTGATCTACGAAATAACAAAAAATATGAACACATTGAAACTTAATATTGACATCCAAAAATTTTAACGAATTGTATTTTCTTTCAAATCAAAAAAAAACTTGTATAAAATATTATTAATTATTAATTGTAAATACACCAAAATGACCTGATAGTTTAGAATTATTAAAATAAATTCAGTGAATACTTACTTCATAGAAAGCAATAAATAATACATTGTTACACAAGCCACAATGAAAAACATGCCAAACACAAATATCTGTATCTTCATATATTATTGTACTTCACATCAAATTTTTAGATGTGTGCTGATCGGCGAAGATTCAAACCAACTGAATAGACTTAAGGCATTTGGAAAATTTTGTTCTTCGGTATTTGTACTCAATAACTTGTTTTAATATTTAATTTTAATATTTAATATTTAATATTAATTTATGTATTTAATACTTGTTTTAATATTTTCATTTAAGTAGAAATTAATGTAAAACCAGCAGTAGTAAGAAGTGTACATATGAATTTATTTAGTTGCTAATGTGGAGTTTTTTAGCTTTTAAATTTAACTAACTGAAGTTTATTCTTTTCGAGTCTATTTCTTTTTTATGCTTGCTTCTCATTCTGTTTACTTTAAATGATGACTGACAACGACAAATTATATCTTTAATTGTAAAAATGAATAATAAAAAATCTGCAATCCATAAATATTGAAAAAAAATTGATTGTTATCACGGCATTTGTATTAAAATATATATTTTTAAGATCAATTGATTGTTCTGTAAATTTATGTTAAAACAATAATATATCATTTTACAATAGATCTATATCAAACATATAACATTAATGACTTAAACATTGTGTATTATAATATTGAATCAATATTTTTTGAATAATAATAAATTTTATATTAAAGAATGATTACAGTGGTTTGCAATCGAAAATATTTCAACTTTGACGAAAGTTAAAAATAAAATTTTTTTAAAAAATAGTAAGGAATGTAACTTAACAATTTACAATACATGGTTTTTAAAATATTTAGTAAAAAATATAGAACTCAAAACTATGTGAATTTATCAAAGATTGATTGAAATATTTTATCAATGTAATCAATTGATCTCCTTACATCGACCTTCAATTACTACAAAAATATATTTTTTATAAAAAATGTATAATTGTGAATGATATTCCAAGTCTTGCCAATATATATCATTAAATAAAGTAGAAAGTATATAGAGTAGTAACACACTAAATTATAAAGATACAACTGTGATTTAAAAAATGACATCGAGAGATTATGTAAAACTAGAATCAGCATTGTGTTTGAAATATTGATGATTAGACTCTAATATCTTCATTAAATTTAAACAAATATATATGATATAAAAATTATTAAATTTACATCATAAAAAATATATTTGAAACATGTAAGTTGAAGTTTTGAGTAGTCATAATTGACTTATGTTTTTATTAATTAAAGCGTCTATTATTTTCTTAAAATTAAATTTATCTTAACTTTGAAAATGTCTCACTTCTATTATAGAATATAATCTGTTTATTCTTCAAGCTATACTTGAAATATATTTATCATTCTATCATATTGGTGAAGTGCACCTGTGCTTTAAGGTGGATACACACTGTGAATCTCGATGTGTCTCCCCCAAACGATTCAGTGCAACAATCTGCTACATTCAGAACAAAATATTTTTCTTAAAATATTTTCTAATTCATCATGAATTCATTCCTAGTTATACAAGTCAGTAATAGATAATTGAATATAATTGTACCTTGTTCCGATTAGTAACCATGTCTGTATAAGATTATGATCATTAGTTATAGCTACATTTCCTCAATCATAGTTCTGTTCTCACATTATTGATAAGTAAATATTATTTGGAGATGAATATGACTTTTCCACCATAGAGTTTCATCGGCCGTATTTTAGATCATAAACGAAGTTATGGTTTGGGATATTGACTTGTTACTTCGGTCATTGCAGTTGTTAATTTGCAGAAAGATGTATGGTGTGAGGCAACTTTCAACATTAGTATTTTGAACAATCCATGTTAGCTGTATGCCCAACCATAAGCATCATTTAGATGTCAGTTGTTGTAGATATATATTGGTGAAAGACAATCATAGAATTTCATGCATCATGACAACCGATCACAATATCTCAACACGAATATAACATAGCATTTCAAACACACTTAACGTTATCTTTTTGATTGACAAAATGATGGAGTCAAACGTTGACCAGGAGTTCGACGGATGGTTATAAATTGTAATGATGTTCAAGAACACAATAATGTAAACTGTCTATGCATGCTATCGTAATGAAAACGATCCTCTAATTGGTAGAGATGTACTTAGTGATGACTCGAAAAGAAGTTTCATAACAGTAGTAAAAGTGGCGAGATTCAATGAGTAGATCCCTTAAAATTCCGACCTGGTGAGTTTCCCATCTGAAAAGATCATAGATTCTGAGCTTCTGGATACGGTCTAACTATTTCACTCTTCTTGAGATGCAGTCCATGTACATCCTCATACATCAAACTGAACATATACACAGGGTCCAAGTGAATCGCAAGGGAGAAAAGAACCCAAGCAAATCCATAGACACTATCCTCCACATCCCGAGATCATATGTAAGAAAAACTGACAGACGCCTACAAAGTTTTTGAAGCATTTCGATCTTGGAAAGGTTGAAAAGTGTGTTGTAAATTACCGAGAATCTGAGCCTATACCATATCCATCCTTCTCCACTCACACTTTCCTTAACCCAAGTGTGCTACGACAGTGTGTACCGTGTGAACTCATTTTCACGAACCTTCATTTCACGTTGAAGATAACTAAGATCCTTATCAGGGATCACACAATCTTATGTCCAGATGGTCACAATGATGTTGGCGCACAAAGTGACCTGCAAACCACCGACATACAACACCTTCATCGAGAACGCGAAACTCCATGACAATGTCACAACGAGGAGGTGATAGAGCTATATTCAGCGCAGCTGGCAAAACATCAATTGAATACATATTCTGAACACACAACTCACACTCCACAGACATCACAAGAGAAGATAGATAGATATTTCTAAACTATGAAGCCCACAGTTACAATATCCACTGCCCAAAAGTGAAAGAAAGTGCTGAAACAATGCTTACGTGATTTTGGAACTGATAAAACCACCAAGTAACTTCCTGAGGCAAAACCAATCGACTGCAACACTTGAAAGGAAAAGGACAAAACACAGTATGTACAAAACTTCTGTTGAATGCGAAAGCACAACTTGCAGGTTGATTATACCGATGCGAACCGATGCCATCTGCACCACAGAGAAGATCGCTCTAATCTAGGCATTTAAAAGAAAATTCACTAGAAGTGTTATCACATCATGAGATAAGCATAGACTTGGGTAGAGATCAAATTGCACGAGAGATAACAGATTAACCCAGGGAAAAAAACCATCCATGAAGACAATTTGATGTGAGCTACTGACACGAGAAATCATACAGGTCGTGGAATTTGAACACCATAATGCATCGATGGGCGTGTAATAAACGCAACCACATCGAATGATTCAGGGTGTATCTGTCATGATTGACTATCAATTAAAAGAGAGATTTGAGATCCCACTCTCATAAGGGCTTCTTCTACTGAGGTTACCCACTAATAATGGCAATTGAATTATCACATGAAGCAAGATGAGCTATGAATAGAATGGAGCTTGCGAGATATGATAAGAAAACCCACGGCCATCAAAAGTTGTAGCCGTTAGATGATGTAACTATGATATAACTAGGCGAATTCACTACACTAGTACGTCGATTTTAGACACCAGTTAAGATTTAATGAGCAGAACGGCACAAAATAAAGTCTCATCGCTCTCGTGCCCCCGAATAACAACACTGAGTAAACACGGAGGAAATGATTTGCAATCGTCTGGACGTTGAAGCACCAAACGAAGTCCACACCCTGTACATCATATCCAACAAATGACTAGAACACCTGCTAGGTTATTACACTACACTTCATTCTGCTCCGTTAACCATCAACGACACTATCAACGTCTTGAAGATGTGATGGGCTTAAAACACCGAGTAGTTAAAAAACCATATTAATACCATTCAATTGCATTCAGATGCAGGCAATAAACCAACTGCACAACAAATAAATACTCTCCAGAAAATATTATTATACTCATCGATCTACCGAGATCATTATCCCACTAGTGCTACATGCACAAATGCATTCTCGTGGACATCAAGAGCTTCAAATTCCAAAAGTAAAACCGATATAAACGAACAGTAACAACCCACCAAATCGAAAGAACTTAATTTTGAAAGAAAGACGTACCTTCCTCCCGAACATTCTACCCACGTCCGATGTATGCGTGAGACTTGAATTTTCACAAGAGATTCACATCCCAGTAATGAAGTGCACAGGACCAGAAACTAAATTCAAAACCCATAGTGAACGGATGACACTTCCGTATTCAAAACCAGGGAGGAACATATACATAAAGGATAATGTTACCGTCCTTGTCATTTCTTGAGTGCAAATACAAAGTTCGTATGTCACGCACAGATGTAATAGGATCAGTTTCCCTAACACTGCAGATACAGTCATGACACACTGAAACAACCACGCATTAAACAATTACCCATAACAAATATTTCATCCAAGAAGATGAAATGTAACAGCTCAGGCTGATAACAGCTGCTCCGGAATAAATGGCCGGACGACATCAGCCTCTGTACCAGCCGTGGAACAAGAAATGGAACAAGGACAATACTACACAAGACAAAAGTTTTAGTGAAGAGGCCCTTGGACCTTCCCAGGTGCTTGAGTCGAAAGGATTGGAAAATATTTGGGAGTTGCCAGAGCTTCAAGCTGGTTGAGTCCTGAGTCCTTTGCTTAAACTATGAACAGTGTGGCTTTGATTTCTGATGTATGTATAGGTCTGCACCTGGCAGTTGCTACGTGTGCAGTTTCCCTCCTGCTTGGAAGACAGAGTGTGCTAGCTTTAGCCAGCCCCGCCCAAAAGTCTCTTAAGGCCTTGTTTCTGCTCAGGGCTAAGTCTTGCGGGAAACTTGATTTCGAACTTAATCCTAAGATTACCTCTCTTCCCTGACTCCTTCGCAATCGGCATCCCTTCTTTTTGCACGACCTTCTCGTAACCAGGATTAATCACCTCCGTGATGGGGATGTTCAGTAACCTACCATCTAAAGTTGTCAAGTTAACTGTACAACCTGTAAGTGCCTCGCTGAGGGAAACTTTGTGCGTCATGATAAGATCGTTGCCATCTCGCTTGAAAATCTCGTGTGGTCTCTCGTCTATCACAAATACTAGGTCGGCAGGGACAACGTTAGGCTGCTCGTTGCCCTTCTCCGGGAAGGTGATCTTGGTACCCTTCTTCCATCCCGGCTTTACTTCAATCGTCAAGATCTCCTCCACTGGCATCGTCTTTCTGCAGCGGCAAAGCTTCTAAGTCTCAGACAGGGCAATGAGAGCGTACGAGAATGGGACAGACCCAACGGCAATGCAAGACCTAGCGTGCCTTCTCCGGGCATGCAAGATGATGGATGCAGATGACAATGCACTCTCCAAGATGTTGCAAGAACCAGTCATTCTTTCTCAGGCTGTGTACTTACCCGCTAGGATCAGCAATATTTCTCGAGATCTTCATCTTTCTGGTAGAGCCATTGTAAAGCTCTTCTAGCGTACATTGCAGTTTGTTCTCCACAGGGGGGGCTTTGCGGGGTCCTGAAGACTGGGCACCTTCACCAAAAGATCGGAAAACGTTTTCTGTCGTATTAAAGCCGCCAAACATACCATCTCCAAAGTTTCCTCGCCCGCTTCTGCTTCCTATTCCCGATATGCCACCCATTCCGCCAAAAGGACTACCTCCGAAAAACTCAGCAAAAATGTCTTCAGCATTTCTGGGATTAAATCTGAAAGTGTTGGTGGTGCCTCCATTGGAATAACCTGCCTGCTGAGCGCCCTGCGGTGGCACTTGGCCTTTCAATCCTTCCTCTCCGTACTGATCGTAGATTGCCCGTTTTTGCGGATCACTCAGGACCTGCGAGGATCACGTCTCGAGGTAAGCTCTAGGAACACAAACAGCGCATCACCCAGGCCAGTACGACAAAGAAACAATGTACACACATTGGGATTGTACAAAAGACCTAACATGTTAGTATCAAAATGTATCCTGTTCCAAGGGCCGGAGAGCAGCGTGAGCACACCTCGTAGGCTTCCGATATTTGCTTGAATTTGGCCTCCGCGTCCTTCTTATTGTTAGGGTTCTTGTCCGGATGCCATTTCATCGCCAGCTTCCGGTACGCCTTCTTAAGATCGTCATCCGACGCATTTTTAGGTACCTTGAGGACGTTGTAGTAATCCACCCCCATCCCCAGCTCGACTGACTGTTCTTCCCTCTTCCGCTTCGAATTGCCTCCTTCTCCTCGCTCAATCTCAACTTCTTCGTTCGCCTTCGCTTCTTTCTCCTCTCCGCTCACCCTAGCAACCACCACCTCCGCCTCTGCCTCCTCGCTCCTCGCTCGATGCTGCAGTGGGCGCGCGTTCGCGTTCGCGTTCGCGGTCACTCCGAACCCGAACCCTCGCAACAACAACAACCAATCGCCTCAGTCCTCTCCGATTCCGCTCGTACTTTTCTCGATCGAAGATTCTCGCCGTGAGAGAGTATCGTCGAGGATTTCTCCTGTCCGCGCGTTCCGATCAGCGACAACAACAGACTTGCTCTCGCATCCGTTCCAAAGGTTTCGGCCTCCTCCTCCTCCCTCTCCCTCTCTCTCCGAGACCTGCCTCCCTCCCTCTGCTCTCGCTCTTCCTTCGTACGTCGCTCTCTTTCTCTCTGATCTCCTCCTCCCTCCTCTCTGCCTTCGTCGCTATGTCCCTCTCTCTCTCCTTCTCTTCCTCTTTCTCTCTTCTCCGCTGCGAGCGAAACTTGCCTGTGCTTTGCTTTGCCTGGCCTGGCCTAGCCTTGCCTTGGCCCCCTCCTGCCCACTCTCTCTCTCTCTCGCTCGCTCGCCTCGCTCACTGCTCTGTCTGGCTGCCCACCCTTCACTTGCTGCTCCGCCTTTGCTGCGTTTCCTGGCCCTGGCCTCGTGCTGCTGCAGCTGCTCTGGCTTCTTTGCTGCGAGGTAGGTCGTTCGATCGGCCTCCGCCCGCCCGCCCGCCCGCTCGCCCGACCGCCCGCGCTCTCGCTCGCTCGCCCGCCCGCTCTCGCCACTGCCTGCCTGCCTGAAGAGAAACCGGCGATCGCCAGCCCAGGATACGAAACCAAAGCCTAAATCCAGCGCTGGCGAAACTGCGGCACGACGGCGACGATGCGCATCGACGGCCGCCCACGGCCGCCCTCCTCGTTGCGCCAGCCGTGGATGCGGGCCATCGCCACTCTCGCCTAACAGAATGGTCCTGAACTTTCTAGACAGGCCTCGCGTTTCTCCAGCCCTTCTATGATTTCCTCGGCCGCTGCCCCGCTGCCCCGCGTTCATGCATACATGGTCCCCTCATCTCATGCGCATGTGCCCATGACCTCCTCACGGGTGCAGTTCATGTGTGGATGAGGTCAATGCTTCCATGCATCATCCATCGTCCGTGGCCATTTCCGCCCGGACGCCTCCCTTGGACGGACGGATGCGCGCTAATCCGTTCCAAATCCTTCCGTCCCCCCGCGACTATCCATCACGAAGCCACCTCGGCGCCTGAGCGCAACTGGCAGAGACGCGAATTGTTGCGCTTCGTTTATTGGCTGCCCTTCGTATAAAATATCCCAACACTCTTCCGAATCTTCTACATTCTCTGGCTCGCCTTGCTTAATTAAGCTCTTATTTACAAAATTAGACTCACGATTAAACCTCGTACAAACCCTTTGACTGGTGCCAATAGTGTCTGCGAAGGCGAGAAGCAGGTGCCTTGCAAGTTGGGCATGTATTTCGGCTACTTCCGCCTCCATGATTCATTTGTTTCTAGCCTCGTGAAGCGAGGCCGCAAGGCCAATAAGTTTTATTCATTACCCCACATGTAGCTCGAGCATTACCGTGCTCTGTCTGGGACTCCTTTTGCCTTGCCAATAATGTGCCCCGATGCCCTTGCCCAGTACCAGCCATTCGTATCCTTGGTATTTATTCTCTTAGAGGGCGACATTTTTTTAACTAATTCATAGTCTCGAGTGCTAAGCGAGCTTATCGTGTGACAAGTGAGGCTTTTAAAGGCTGAAATCTGATTATCTTTCTGGTCTCATGGAGAGGGATAAAACTCTCTTATCCAACAGAAAAGCCTGTTTTCATTTCTTGGTTGTTCTCCATCCACAAAATCATCGCAGATATATAAAGATTTATAAGGCTAAGCAAATTAATATATTTTCATTTATTTGTTCTTTTATCTATTCATTCATTCATTCATTCATTTACATACACTGATCTTGTTTTCATAATCTCATTCATATGTTTATCATCATTATTATTGATATATTTTTTAATACTATAAAGATTGTATCTCTAAAAACTATGACAAGTTTGCAATGGCATCTTCTATAATTTCCTCCTGTAATGATAGGCATTATGATTAGGCACGGAACCTTTGATCCATGAACTTTGTTTAGAGTGTAAATGTCCAAACAATGCTTCTCACGTTACACCATTTTGAAGATTGAAATTTGTCTTCCAAAAGTGGTGTTCATAAAAGGACCTCGAAATGTTGAGTCTTAACATAAATTTAAAGGTATGGAATGATCTTAAGAGGTACAACGTCAAATGTTTATTTTACAAGAAAATTTGAGTAAAACGTGACAATTAAAATCAATTTGTAAACACTTTCATCTTAAAAGAATTTTTTATAATTTTATTAATTTTTATTCAATATACATATGCGTAATGATGTATACAAGGCTACAAGACAGGAAATATTGGCGCATTTTATCAATTAGTTCTTGACCACGTTGTAAGAGAGTAAATGAATGATAATTAAGACTGTATTTGGTTTAGAAATATATTTTAATTCCATCCATTTCGTTCTTGTGGGCCTAGTTTTTCCTTATCATCCCGCTATTACGAAATTCTAAGTATGCGTATTTTTTATATGATATATAGAAATGAGTTTCGGAAGAGTATAGAATCCTCTCCAAAATAACATGAGAATGAGATCCCAAGTATACAAATCACAATCCAAAGTCAAAAACTTGTACCACAATTTTATTCTAACATAAATTATGTAATGATAAAGTATTACTTTGTTAAGACAAGGATGAACTTTTCACCCAAAAAATCCCGCGTATAAACAAACAGGTACTCAAATTCAAGGATAGATATTGTATTGGTAGAAGTATGACGAGGCACAAAGTGTGTCCAGTAGATCAAAGGAAGGAAGGAAGGTGCCGAGCTAAGAACGATGTTGATGACCAGTCATCTACTGTAAGCAGCACGAACCTTATCTACCGCAAAGATGTTGCTGACTAATCACTCTCATAACAGTCACGTTCGTGACTTCTTGGTCACACCATAGTTGATAGCAGTCGAGAGATCAATGGCTGAACAATTTCTTGATTTGGTGACTCAGTATTGCCAGCTTAAATTTGTTTTCTGAAACCTGTAATCGAAATGTTCTAACTTGGCTGAAATTTTCGTTTGAATCTATACAGACGTATATTAACTTGATATCACCAGCTTGTTCTTAAGAGACACAAAATATTTCCTGATACATGTACCTACACGCTGTCTCTATTACGAGTTTTTTGTTCTGACTAAAAATTGTTTTATAAAGCCATTCCCACAGTGAGTCAGACAATCATTGTCTACTAACAAAGATATTCTGAACTAGACAGAAGCGACAGTATGCAGACATTATGCATGTTTGGAAATGGTGCGCCCATAAGTTACATCAAAACATGCAGTAATGAATAAAGAAATAACCATGCACATGATCTTGGTCCTAGAAACCATGGTAAGGATGGATGGTGGTTCGAACTACATATGGCGAGTATAAACTATAAGGTTTGAGATTTCGTGGACATGTATTGTCTGCTACTGACGAGAACAAACATTTGGTACATTTCCAGTCAGAACTACATCGAACTAGAACGCGCGATGTGAAATCAAACAGGACTTCTGCATCGGACTTACGGGCGAACAACGTACAGCCATGTGGAAAATATCATTGGTATTCCTATGGAAAGCAGGCCGATCCAGGCACGTGTCAGATGGAGGCCCATGCTGCAAGGAATTTTCGCGACTGCTGGAGAAACTGCGGTCACTTTTCGTCTTTAGGTGTTGGGCATATACCACATAACTGGGAAGGATAACTTGCAACTCTCATGTCTCGAAGAGTGTGCAAACCCCCAAAAAGAAACCATAACCTACAGCTAGCGAAAACTCCCTACAGCAGTTGAGTCAAAAATAGATCTATCCATACTTGACCTTTATTACTCTGAAGCAATAACAGGTTTTGTCACCAATTTACCTCTTTTGGTATTGGGGCTATAGGCTAGGTCCCAACAACATCACCAAAGAATTGTATACGTGCATTCTTCAAACCCTACCACAGTACATGGAGGATGATTATCATTTACCAGCTCCAAAAGTTTTCCGGAAACGATATCTAGCTTATTTTGAAATACGAGTCAATCAAAAGCACATGTATTTCGCTGTGACTAGTATGGAGAATGAGGCAAAGACTGAGCTCTCAATAAGCACATTATTTCACAAAAAATGTTCGAGGTAAGCTACTGTTGAGTGTGAAAGGCACGCAGGACTTGGGAGTGTGTAAGTAGCGGCTTAGGCCAAATCTAGTACTGTATACTGATGAAGTTGACTGATGAAGTTGGGTTAATTGGCATCTTGGTAACCATGGTGGAGTCAACCGGGTTATGGGTATCTTCTTCCATCTTGGGTATGGAACAAGCGAACAAATATGTTACAAACAAGTTCATAAAGGAAACTTCAAGTCCAGATGCAAGAGCAAGCAAACACAATTGTGTCAAACATCCATCCGCAACAACCTCAATAATCAAGAAGCAACACAAGCGGCACTATGATAAGATTGTATGATACATAGCCCTTATTGTGTGCGATAGATAACTTCTTGACAAGTGAGGTAATTGTATGAGCTAAGAAAACCTCCAACTCTAAAATTAAATTTTTTAATGTATTTCACCCCAAAATTAGCAAAGAGAGCACAAATATTTCTAATATATAAGTGTCAATTCACTCCTTTCTAAGTCAAAGTATTCCTCGATGTCAATTAATCAAGATTTCATATATTATCTTATTATTTCATAGTATTACATCATTCCAACTATAATATCACTTGCATAAAAAACATTGATCAATATATCACTCATTTTCTATAACTTTAAGCTTCATCTTTGTGATCTGCTTATCATTCAGAAGCACTTTTCTTCAATTCATTTTTATTCGTCCGACATTTAAATTTAAAATAATATTCAACTTGCATATACTCCACATATCTTATTAAATATTATTTTTCAAACTCATTCGTATTTTTGTACATTTTTCTGTTGAATCGAAATATAGGCATAATATAAAAATATTAAATGCACTTATGGATTACCATAAATTTGCAAACTAAGGAATAAATAAAAAAAATATTAAAAAAAAATATGGTTCATATTTTTATTTTGATAGCATCTCTCGATTTACTGTTTTTTTTATTGAAATCTTCTTTTTACATATTATTCAGAATTGATGATAATAAATTCATGCTAATGTTAAGAAATTTAAGATATTCGAATTCAGAATATAAATTATGTTGTATTAAAAAAAATATCATCTCAACCTTAATCATAAGACTTGGCATCATATTTCAAGATATGTGCTGAAGAATGAAAATCCAATGGAAGAAATAAATCTCAAGCCTTCGAACATTTGGCTTGAATGTATGCTTTAGAACTCGTATGTATATTTTTCTTTTGAGTACAAGCCCTTTCTTTTGAACTAGACCGGCAACATTTATATGTATAAATATAAATTTAAAAAACGAATATATTGGGGTGCAATTCTTACAATATAATTGTTGGAAATATTCTAACAATTATATATAACTAAGAACATTTTTTTCCCCAAATCTATTATTGTTATGTTTCGCAATCATTAAGTTTATTTCTTATCAT